ATTCCCTGACATAACAGCTCATAGGAATATATTCTAGATTCTTTCTAACTAAACAAGTCTGATACACAGGATTAGTCCGTCTGTAGATGGCAATAACTTTGTGTTTGTATCTAGAAAATCTTGATGGAAATATAAATATGAACTTTCTTTTCAACTGAAATATACATAGGGCAACATGAATTCCATGCTAAGAGCTCAGCATAATCTAATAATATGTGTAATTTATTTTTGAAAACATGAATGATGCTCTTGATGGAACAATATGTAGTATTATTAATCTGAGCCAAGTCTACAATTGCCTGATTTGCTTTTCCTTCTTGTCCCCTAGATGTAGCTTAGTCATCCCTCTCCTGTTTTCCTGAAAGATAAATCTTTGTTCTCCTCCATGTAAAGTGATAGTAAGTGAATAGAGGAACCCATAATGAAAACCATTTGATGCTCTTTTCTACTAAATATATTTTGGAAACTTAGAGTAACATGTTTTACATGTTAGAGCAGCCTTTGCCAATCTGGCACCCTCCAGATGTATTGGACTTCAGCTGCTATAATGCAATTGGAGTCCAACATATCTAGGTCCCAGTATTGTTTAAGTGTGTGGAGATATTTTGTCAGTGTTTGGTCTTTTAACTTGCCGTTATGTCTTTACATATAATTTTTCAGGAAATTATAGGCTTTTAGTTTTGTCTAGACCAGCTTGTGGTAATAGGTTTAACATGTCTTCAGAAGCTAGTAAGTTGGAACAGTTTCTTTTAATCTTTTATTGTATTAAATTTTTGTGGATTGCCTGCGAAACCAGTGATTTTCATAGAATTCAGTAAATATGGCAATTCATAGTTATTGAATTGACAGTTGTAGGATTATAAGCATTAAATATCTTATGTCATTTGCTGCATTGGATGTATAAGTAGGCGTCGCCTAATGACAACAATAGGGACTGGAAAATTGGTTGTTAAGCAGGGTGGTTGTTAAGCGAATTGGACCTGATTTTACGACCTTTTTTGCAGCAGTTGTTACAATCACCATGGTCATTAAGAGAATCACATGGTTATTAAGCTAATCCAGCTTCCCCCATTGACTTTGCTTGTTGGAAGCCCCCTGGGAAGGTCGCAAAAGGCAATCATGTGACCCTGGGACCCTGCAACCATCATAAGTGTGCACTGGTTGCCAAGTGCCAGAATTTTGATCATGTGACCACAGGGACACTGCAATGGTCATAAGTGCGAGGACCGGTTGTAAGTAACTTTAGCACTGTTGTAACTTTAAGCAGTCACTAAATGAATGGTTGTTAAGCAAGGACTACCTGTACCTATTTGCCCTCTTGGATTAGAGACAGATCGATATTCATATTGTTCACATTCATTCTAGTTTTTTTCTCTGATAAACAGGTTTTGTAGATTTTTGTAATTTAAAAAACATTTGAGTATGGCTAATGATAGCCTTCTGCAGATGTTTATAATTCATCAGGAATGCATATAGTGATAGTGGCAGGCTCTGCTTTGAGTTTTGTTTATTATAATGTATAGAGAGCCACTGTATGCATGTAATACATAAAAAAAAATCATGCATTTAGTGCATAGACCCACTTTGAGGTAGCTGCAATGTTGTGCCCATATAAACATTTAACATAACCTCGTTAATGACTGAACAAGGCTAGTCAGACAAAAGAAATATAGTTCCCAAAATATTTTTAAAAGTCTTAAAATTATTATTACACATTCCTAACTATTTTGTATTTGATATACTGAAAATAGTACCTTCTTTATTTTTAACATCAATGACCTCGTTCTTCAGCATTCAGAATAGACAAAAGATACATAGATACATTTCTTCTTAACCTCTGATTGGGAGTCTATCAGTATTTTCATCATAGAAATTAGGATAGTGCTGTGTTCTAATTTGATTTGATCTGATTTGAAAGAGGTACCTTGGAACATGCAGGACTGCAAATACTGTGACTTCTTAAAAAACTATTAGGGAGTGAAGTTGGGAAAAATAGCAGCCAGGCAGAAATGCTTCTCACCCCATTTCCCTCATACATTCATTCATTAACTCACACCTTTACTCACAAGCATCCAAGCCGGCAACATCCAGAGGCAGCCTCACCCCACCCAGGCTCTTAGCTTACAAAAG